CCGCGGCGCGCTGCGCGTCCATACTCATTTTCTCGACCTCCAAAATGTCCTTGACCGAATGCCGACGCGTCACGGGCGTGAACGCGCTTGGGTCGAGCGACTTGCGCGCAGCCTCTTGGGTCACCCGCGGCGAGGCCGTTCGTTGGGCGAGGGCTGCGGACGGCGACGAAACAAAGTCGAACGGCAGGCGCGGCGTCGAGTCCTTGGGGCTAAACGGGTCAAAGTCCACGATCGTCGGGTCGTTCGTCTTGAGCGACAGCGGCGGCGCCGACGGATTGACCGACAAGGGACGTGGCGGTGGCTGTGCCCCAAACGGGTTGTTGGCAAACGGGTTGGCCTGCGCCGGGTACGCTGGCGGCGCGAACTGTTGTTGCTGGTACATGGCGGGCTGCGTGTTGTACATGGCTGGCATGCTGTAGCTCTGCGGCGGTGTGTTGTAGCTCTGCGGTGGCGCATTGTACGCGGGCTGCGGAAAGGCGCTCGTCGGCCCAGCGTCCATGAACGGGTTGGTCGAGTGCGCTTGGGTCGTCATAAAGGGCTGCGTCCGCGCCGGGCCGCTGGTCTGGATCGCCGAGGGTCCTCCGACGGCGCCGGTCTGGAAGTGGCCCATCGGCTGCTGCTTCACGCCTCCATGGTGGGGCGCCGTGCCGTAGCTGTACTGCGGCGCGCCCGTGTCGAGGGTCGCGAACGGGTCCGACATGTTTGCCTCGGCCTTGGGTTTCGCAACTGCCCGCAAGTCGGCCTCCACGCCGGCGTATCCGGAGGCTATTTTTAGACTCTGAAAATAGCATTCCGAGTGCGTAGCTTCGAACTTCGTGACACCCAAACTTCGAAAATAAAAAGCCACCAATCACGACGTAGGGATCACCATTGTGTAGACAGAACGATGGGCGACGTCCAGCAGGCCGCCAAGCTCGTGCTCGCGGTCCTCGTCGTCGGCTCGTGCTTGGTCATGGTCATGAACTGGAACCTCGTGAGCTCTTCGACAAGCGAGTCGCATGAGGACTCTTCGAGGACGTGGCACGGCGCCAAGGCCATCCTCAACGTCGGAGCCAGACCCTCGACCAACGCCACCAACGCCTCGGCAGACGTCGTCTTTGCTCCGCGGCGCATTCGGTTCCTCACGCTCGCAGACGACGCCCGTCCCAACATTTGTCATCTCGCGGCCGCCATCTACCAGCAAGGCAACGTGCTTGAAGTCTTGGGCTGGGACCAGAGCGACACATTCTTTGACGGCACGTCGTGCGGCGCCCGCTGCAAGACGCCACTCGAGGGCGCAGAACTGGTGCGGTTCGGCCAAGAGAAGAAGCTGTACTGGCTGCTGCACTACTTTGAGCACAAGCCCGACCTGCACGACGACGACCTCGTGCTCTTTACGGACGCGTGGGACGTCATTGTCAATGGCGACACGACGACGCTCACCGACCTGTTCCTGCGCCACACGAAGCACGAGCGCGGCGTCATTTTCAACGGCGAGCCGGCGTGCGGCGACTCGTTCACGCTCCCGACCGAGTATGGCGACTATCTCCGCCGCCGCAGCTGGCGCGTGCAACTCGAGAGGGACCAGAACCCCCGATTGATTCGCGGCGACAGCGTCTGCGACGCGATGGCGGCCAAGACGCTGTCAACGGCGCATATCCCCGGTCCAAACTGGAGCCTCGGGTCGGGCGGCATCCTCGGCGACGTCCGGAGCATTCGCAGTATCCTCCGCAAGGTCCACCAGATCCGTCGCGAGCAAGAAGCGCTGTTTGCGAAGGACCCACAGCGCGCCTACCTCTTTCAAGGCGACCAGATCTTATTTCAGCTTGCGTACCTCCAGTCGCCTGACATCAACGTCAAGGTCGATGCGAGCGGCGAGATCTTCTTCGTCATCTCGCACCTCGTGGCCGATGGCGACTTTGACGAGTTCTCGCCCGCAAAAGGCTGCACGCGCAACTACATGGCGCACGGCCGCGCGTCGGTTTACGCATGGAACCGGATCGCGCCCGTCTTTTTCCACTTTCCCGGCGACTACAAGGAGGCATTTTGGTCCTGCGCGGCACCGGCATCGCGCTACAGGGAGTCCCGCGGTGTCGGCCAGTACATGTTTGACGTCGACCGCAGTCGGCGGGTGCCCGTGGCCGACGTTTGCCCCACTTTTGTCTGAAAAACCTAATTTTCCTTCGTGTCTGCATAAAATGTTGAGATCTTTCGATGCCAAAAAGGATAGTTCAAACAGTATTAATACGAAGGACCGGTACTATGGGCATGTGAATAATTCGGCTTCAGAAGCTCGAGCCACGGTTGTGGGCTGATGCGAAAGCGAGAGTGGTCAAATCCTCTATTTGGTGCGCATCAGTCCACCCTTTCTACACGGTACGTTCGGTGGATTTTCTGGACTGTTTCACATTGCCATTGGAATGAGAAAGGTCCGGGCAACGCTGGTCGTGCTCGCGGCGACGGCTGTGGGTCTCTTGACGCTCCAGACTCTCCTCATGCAGCGAGTTGCTTTGGCGTCAAGGCTCGAGGCCAGGCCCATCGCGACTTCAAGCGCATCACACCTGCCGTTTAACGTCGGCAAAGTCCACGTCATCACGCTGGCGGACGATCCTACGCGCAGGGCGATCTGCCCACTGGCGGCGTCCGTGTACAGCCAAGGCTTGGTGCTCGGCGTGCTCGGGTGGAACTACAGCGACCACTTTTTCGATGGCACGTCGTGCGGCCAGCCGTGCCAAGCCAATCGCGGCAAGGACATTCGGATCGGGCAGCAAAAGAAGCTGCATTGGCTCCACCACTACTTTGAGCATCACCCCAATCTGCACGACGACGACCTCGTGCTCTTCACCGATGCATGGGACGTCATTGTGAATGGCGACACGGCGACGCTCGCGAGCATCTTTTCAAGCAGACGCGCGGCCATCGCGGCGTCATCTTCAACGGCGAGCCGTCGTGCGGCGACTCGTTTGGGATCGCAAACCCGTACGGCGACAAGCTCCGCAGCAAGCGCTGGCCGATCCGCTTGGAGCGCAGCCAAAACGTGCGCTACGCGAGCGGCCACGATATGTGCTACGCGGTTGCCGCCAAGACCATGACGTCTACGCCGACGGCCGGTCCGAATTGGAGCCTCGGCTCTGGTGGTATCCTCGGCGACGTGGCAAGCATCCGCGCCTTCCTACGTGGCGTGCACCAGGTCCGGCGCGAGCAGGAAGACGAGTACAGCGCCAACCCGAGCGCGTCGTTTCTCTTTCAAGGCGACCAAATCTTGTTTCAGCTCGCGTACGTCCGGTTCCCCGACGTAAACGCCCTCGTCGACACGCGCGCCGAGATCTTCTTCGTTCTCTCGTACAACGTCGGCGACGACGACTTTGCACATTTCTCTCTACGTCGCGGATGCGCGCCAGAGTACCTCGCGGGCAACGTCGGGTCGGCGTTCACGTTCAACAACGTGACGCCAGTCTTCCTGCATTTCCCCGGGAGCGCCAAGCGCCACCTCGACAAATGCTTCCAGCACGTCGCCCGCGCCCGCGCCCATCTGCACCCGCAGCAGTATTTCGTCGACATTGACGCCAACAGACACATTTTTGTTCACGACCTCTGCGATAACTACAGCTAAGAAAGCGGCAATCGACTCGTGCTTCTCATGCATTCCCAGCTGTGGCATACTTTATGGAAATCAACGAAGCAGAGTTTGTAGAGATGTAGTGCCGCTCATGCTGAACGGACACATCGCTCGGGCAGAAGATAATTTTGCCTGAGTAGAAGACCCTTCAACTCGATCCAATCATGTTGCCTATACTGTAGCTGAGAGCCCCGCGCGTGCATTATACACACGAGCCTCGAAAAAATACAGTCTGTATACGTTGTACTGAACGTTTGTCATTGACAACGTCTCAATGGCGGCAAACCCGTAGATGAAATGGCAAAAATCGTCCATGATGGGACTCGAACCCACAACCCCCTGATTAGAAGTCAGATGCGCTATCCATTGCGCCACACGGACAGTACAGTGGGACAAGCCTAAATATCAAACTGCTCACCAGCACTTTGCAAATTTTACACTTCGAGAGCATGTGGCAGCAAGAGGACGACGTGGGTGGCGCGCCCACCGCGTAGGCCACATCGAATGTACGAAAAACTCTTTCATTTTTTCATTTGTCTCTCTCATCCCATTTCATTCAAAACATATTGGGGATCACACTGCGACTGAAACTTAATTCGTCAACATCGGCACCTTATAAGAACACGGAATGCAAGATTGCCCGTACGAGACGAACAGCGCTAGCGTGGCACGATGCAATAAATAAGATCAAAATGTTAGTGCGGTTTCCAAAAGTGCCACGACGCCGAGGCCCCTTGGTAGATTATCATGTTTGAAATGGAATCGCCAAAAGTTGGCACAATGGTACACGTACAAGATACTTTGGAGAGCAGAGCAGGCCACGCTGTGTCATCGTTGCAGCCCTAAAACGCGCGCAAAGTTCGACAACAGATACAAAGCGCTCCAATAACGTCGAATAGCAAATGTCCGCATTGGTACGCCGTAGTCTTGGTCTTCTACTGTACACTTGTCGTAGCAACGATCACCCCTTTCATTGGCCTTTGACTGGAATAAGAATACTTTCATGGAAACATTCGTGCAAACATTACAGCGTCCAGAGCCATCGCACACTGGGGAGCGATTGGGACGAGAGGCGTAGAGCTTACAATGCTCGGTCCAGCGCTTCTCTTCCGCACTCGGGGTGATTTGATGTCGTCTAGAATCGTTTGTGTAAAACGTGTGCCAAGCTTATGCGTCCTCGTAGAGGTGATATATTCACAATATGTGAAAACTCTCGATTGCTATGACGTTGCACTCGGAGAGGGTCCCATTTCACGCAAACGTTCAGTCGTGTACAACACAAGTGTAAAAACGAGCACGCAAAAGACGAAACGCAGTGCTTTAACAAGAGAATTAGACCAGCCTTGAGCGCCGCACTTTCTAGAATTTGCGCTCCAGTGCCTTCGTCGCATGGCACCGCGGCGAACGGTAGGGCGGTCGCACGCAGGCGTTTGTTGACTGTGGACGGTGAAACTCGTGTGTCCGAGGTCCTTCTTTCGTCACACATTTCGGCAATACAAGACGTTGGGTCAACAGGTAAGCGCTTGCAAAGATCGCTGCGTCCTCCTGCAGCATGCGAATGCTACTGTACTCGTCAAGGACCGATGCCGCACCGAGCACGATTGGTGGTGCCAGTAACGTGTTAAGCCGTGTCACAGACATCAAGCGTCAGCGCTAATACCTTGGCGCAGGTGTACAGTGTGTTCAGGCGCTCGCGGAGTTGTCGCTCCAGTACTGGGTCGTCGGCGTCGGTGCAGCGTTGGTCGCAGCCATCGGTACCGTAGCGGTAGAAAGACCACTACCATTACGCTGGCAGTTTACGCGCGGTGTGTTATGCAGTCGATGCGCCGAGACAAACGCCGACAGCGACAACCTCGAGCCTGTGCATGTGCGTCGTTTCGAAATATCCGGACACGTGTTCCGGATATCAGAAACAAGCGCCATTCCAAAATGGTCAACACGGCGACAAGCCACGCCGCCGCAGTAGGCGCTGCGCGCGCGTCATCTCGTGGCATCGAGCCTGACGGATACAACCTCGAGCACCTCACGCATGACGTCCTGCTGCTTGCACATAGCAGCCAGCGCTGAGACCGCTGGCGGCGCAGCGCAACATACCGCCCGCCGCGAACGTCTCGCTCAACGTCCCCTGTGATCCGTTCTCTGCTCGAGGTAGCAACGATCGAAGCTTCCAGCCCTTGGCAGCCACCTAGAGTGGCCGCACCCGCCCATGATCCACGTCATACCAGACGCCGTTCTACAAGGCATCTGCGCGGAGCTCGTTCGTTCGGCACAAGGTACCGCTCGTCTTTGACGCAACTGGATTCTGAGAGATTGACTAGATGCCTGAATCGAGCAAGGTTTGTAGCCTACCGCTGCGCGTAGGTCTCCACCGCCCCAGGAAGTTGCATGCGCGCGCTCGTTCCGAACCAGCTCCGGACAGCCTTCTTGGGGCTCTTGGGCAGACACCTCTGGCGCTAACGTTGTGCTTGCCCAACCACACGACGGAGGACACCGACGCGATCCTCTACAATGCGCTGTCGCTCGCAGGTATCCTCCGCCGCACCTGTGCGCGATTGTGTCGGCACGGCTTTTGCCTGAGACGCACGAGAGCGAGATTCTTGCGGCCTTTTCGCGCCATCTCGTGCCCTCGCGCACCCCGCTTGTCGTACACGGCGCACGCAAGGACGCCTGTGCGAGCGAGTGGACACGTCTCAAGGCTCGGTTCGTGTCGACCTCGCCCCGCCGGCTACCAGGATAAGGACGACAACGACGATGGCGAGGATGGGAAGAATGATGAGGTAGTGCCGACGGTGCGCAACCACGTCGCCGACCTTTTTTACGCGGTGCCGGGTCTCGCGGACGCGTATCTCGAGGCCACGCTCTACGCTGTTTCGCGCCTCGAGCGCTTAGCGTGCTCTTTTGCACTCGTCGAGTTTGCCGGCCACGGGGCCGCCGATCCGAACGCGACGGCCAAGAAGGCCAAGAACCACAAGCAGCAGCTCGAGATGCCTCGGCAGCAGAAGGAACTGCACGGCCGTTTGCGCAAGGCCAAGCATCTCGTCGCGTGCATGGCACGCCCCCCGAGGCGCTCCAACTGGCCCTGTCGCACTTGGTGGTGCCACTTCTGGCGCTGCTGGCAGATGTTTGCGGACTTTGCCTTCCGCTGCCTCACGCCCTCGGCAAGTGTTTCATACCCATAAGCCTCCGCGCGCATGCGTCTTTGGCTCGATTGCTTTACAGCTGTAGTAGTATAGTCACCACGTTTCTGGATCTTTTCTGGATCTGCATACGAAAGGAAATGCTTCCTGTAGCTGAAGGTTGAGCGGCAGCAACCACACAAGACGATGGAGGGTCGAGCTCTTGCGCATCGCTGAGCAGTCCACGACTGCCCATGTAGGCTTCACCCGCTTCTGCCTTTACACATGGCCGATCATTATCAATACAGTAAATCAACAGAACAAAAGCGCTAGCCGTTGGTGCGAGCGTCGAGGTCATCGTTCGATCTGCCTGCAAGACCACAACGGAAACCTCATCGACCCTCGGGTACTTTTGCCATCCCAAAGCCCGAGTACGGGTGCTTGCTACAATTAATCTAACAGTGCTATCGATGTATTGAATTCTGTGCCCATACTGTATGACGCTTCGCCAGCACGAAGAATCGGCGAAGCTTTCACAACTTGCATGTCTCGATCTCGTTCAGCCTTGTATGACTGGACGTGGTACACTACTTATTGGCCTGCGATATTGCTTGGACGTTGGGGGTCGTAGCATGCATGTGCGTAGGAAGTGTCGGGCCCCTTGTGGGCCTGTGGTCGTAAACAAAGATAGCACGATCGAGTGAATGTTCGAAGAATGGACGGAGATCGACTCGCACAAGGTTAGGGTTAATGTTGAGGACCAGCATGACCAATGACAGGGACAGCGGGGACTCCAGGATGTCCGAGAACGGATAGCCAACGCCACGCTAAGCCCACAAACATGCTGTAATTAGCACCTTGAGCCTCTTAGAAGGAGATGCGCAGTGCAGCTAAGAGCACCGTACACCCAGTTGAGGTTCCACCTCAAGAGACCTGGTCGACACTCTGCATCGCGTGCGGCTGCTTGTCGCGTCGCTGGTCCAGGTGGAAAGACTGGAGATTCCCATCTCAATACATTTGTTTCAAATAGAGTCCCAAGAAGACCAACTCGGATCGTTTAGGCGACATTCACTGGACGATCTTGGCGTCATTGCCGTTCATCACGACGCCATTCTTGGTTGTGGAATCACCATGATGCACCGGACCGTTGAACGTGTTTGGTCACGGTGGTTGGAGGAGTCTGATGCTGTCTGGCAGTTTCTTCAGTGATCAAGTCTACAATGGCGGTATGTCACTTCTCTTTGGCAAAGCACAGTGGCGTAGAACCGTTCTATCCAGATCATTCTGAGTACCTATCTTGGGCTAGAGGTAGGCTACCGTCATGGCGTCGTGGACGTTGGCACCATTGCCGATGAGGAAATTGACAAGCTCAAGATAGCCGTTCTTGGCTGCGATCGAGAGCGGCGTTTGACCGCGCTAATCAGTCCACAGATCAGATCTGTACAAATCGCCATCTTACATCGTCAGCTTGGTTGACATTGGCTTCTTTGGCGACGAGCGAATGGACGACTAAGACATGGCCTTCCTTGGCTGCGATCCAGAGCGGTGTTTGACCCTTCTGACCAGTACAAAGATTGGAACCTCGTTTCTCACACGTTATCAATGCGACGAGACGTACATCGTTGCTTTGGCTGACGTCTGCACCAGCGCCGAGGAGGAGCCCCACCACGGCCTCTTGCCCGTTTTCGGACGCGATGTAAAGTGGCGTTCTTCCATACTATTCAATACCTCAATAGCACGATCACGATGCATCGAGACGTACGATGTCGCTTTTGTTGACATCTGCACCTGCGCCAAGGAGGAGTTGCACGACGGCCTTCTGCCCCATTTCGGACGCAATGTTAAGGGGGTCGTTCCGACACTATCCAATACCTCAATAGCGCGATCACGATGCGTCCAGACGTACATTGTCGCTTTGGTTGACATCTGCACCTGCGCTGAGGAGGAGTTGCACGACGGCCTTCTGCCCCATTTCGGACGCGATGTGAAGTGGCGTCCATCCACACTATCCAATATCTCCAAAGCACGATCACAATAAGTTGAGACGAACATAGTTGCCTTGGTTGACGTTTGCTTGGGCGCCAAAGAGGAGTTGCACCACGGCCTCGTGCTCGTTCTGAGACGCGACGTAAAGTGGCGTTCGTTCAAGCTATCCAATTCCAATAGCACGATCACGATGCGTCGAGACGTACTTCCATGCCCTTGTTGACATCTGCACCAGCGCTGACGAGGAGTTGCACGACCGTCTCGTGCCCATTCTGGGCCGCAATGTGCAGTGGGGTCGTTCCATACTATCCAATACATCAATAGTACGATCACGATGAGTCGAGACGTACGTAGTCGCCTTGGTTGGCGTTGGCTTGAGCGCCGAGGAGGAATCCCACCACGGCCTCGTGCCCGTTTTCGGATGCAATGTAGAGTGGCGTCCATCCATGCTATTCAATACCTCAATCGCACGATCACGATGCGTCGAGACGTACATAGTCGCCTTGGTTGACGTTTGCTTGGGCGCCGAGGAGGAGTCCCACCACGGCCTCGTGCCCGTTTTCGGACGCGACGTAAAGTGGCGTTCGTTCACCCTGTCCCATACCTCAATCGCACGATCACGATGCGTCGAGACGTACATTGGTGCGTTGGTTGACGTCTGCACCAGCGCCGAGGAAGAGTCGCACCACGGCCGCGTGCCCGTTTTCGGACGCAATGTCAAGCGGCGTTTCTCGATCCTATCAAAAGCGTGAGCGTTGGAAGCGTATGACGTCGTACCTCGTTTCGCCAGTTGGGATCGGCGCCACTGCGCAGGAGGCGCGCTACGTCACTCTCGTAGCCCTTCTCGGCAGCATCGAACAAGTCTCTTCCCGATGGTGGCGATGCACTCCCTCGAGCATTCTACACAGATGCGTCAGCGCCGTCGTCCGTGACCTGACGCCGCCATACGCCCATCGTCGGCCTTTCCCAAGACCGAATAATTATCCGGTTGATGCATCGTCATTTGGTTCTCCGCCAGAGATCTCAGCGAGCGGAGTCGGTCCACAGAGAACGGCATAATCGTTGCTATAATAGTTTAGAAAGCTTTCATAAGCTCTGCCATGGCTCGTGTACGCTGCACTAGTGAGTTGAATGCATGGAAACCTGACACTGATACCTGGTCGAAGCAAAAGTTGTACTCATGTGCCTCCCGAGGTCGCCGGTTCGATTCCCGATGCGCCGATTTTTCTATCCGGACTCCCCCCCATCCGGACACGAATGTCACTGAAGACGGTCACCATAATAAGGCCACGCTCGGCAAGTGCCACAAGGAACACATGGAAGAAGCAAGATGAAAACGGCATATGCCGGTAACTCGTGCCTACCGGATATTAGGTTGGAGGTAGGACGACCCTAGAAATAGGACCCTTAATCCGTAAAATGGCAAAGTGCCGTTCAATTGGGCCGCTAACGTTTACTGGCCCATGCTCTATTGAGAAATAATATCCTGTGAAATCAAATACGAA